TAATAGCAACCTAAACTGACAACAACCTATAAATCAGCAATTTATCAATTCTACACTATATATTTGTTGAATTGCATATTAAAGCATAGTCCAAAACAGTTACTTCATCAGGAACATCTATCTATTGAGTAATAATAATACCATTATGTAATAATCATTGTATATTCATTTATTTATGATAAATGGCAAATAGAAACATTTTACATACATAATAATATTTATTTAATAACGTAATAATTATACTTATCTTTTAATTCACAATGTCCACACTTATACACAGTATCAAGCCAGAGAGAGAGCTCCGCACCGCCCGACGTCTCAACCGAGAATGAATCGAGATTGGTCGGCGCAGGGGCTTTTGTAGGCGGTGACAAACAACTATGCGTCATACTTGTTTGTCATCGCTCGAACGTTGGCTTTAATTTAAAATTGTATTTACTGCAATTATTTATAAATATATTATTACTTAATTTACTAACATATTTCTATACCTATACATTTGTGTTATATATCTATACCTATACATAGGCATAAGCTATCACGCGCGTGGCCCTCGCGAGACGTCACTCAGCATGTTAATAAAACTTACTGCATTGTGGCCAGTATGCACGATAACACCAACAGGCACAGATAAGCCTATTTTCCCTCGTTCTAAATTGATCCTTGAATGTAAATAAATATATATTAAAAAATATTTATTTCCAAGCTCATTTTATCGTCAGAAATTCTCTCAGGTTGAGTCCGTGAGCTCACCCTCCCGTCCGGCCGTAGCTGGAATAGCCATAGGAATAGGCTATCAGCGAATAGGTAGGGGAAAAAACAGATAAAAATATTCATTCCATAACATTTATGTGTAGCGGTAGTTGTCACAGAACAGAGGGGTTTTTGACAGATTCATAAACCTTTTAAAATACATTATTTATTCGTAGTAAAATACTTAAATATTTATTATGTAAGACAGCGGCAGCGGTAGGCAGGGGTAGGCAGCGGCTTGGCTCTGCCCCTGGCATTGCTGAAGTCCATGGGCGACGGTAACCACTCACCATCAGGTGGGCCGTATGCTCGTCTGCCTACAAGGGCAATAAAAAAAATACATGTCGTGAGTCCGCACGGGTAGGTACCATCACACTGCCTATTTCTGCCATGAAGCAGTAATGCGCTTCGGTTTGAAGGGTGGCACAGACGCTGTACTGTAAAAACGGAGACCTTAGAATTATTATTTCAAGGTGGGTGGCGGCATTTACATTGTAGATGTCTATGGACTCCGGTAACCACTTAATATCAGGTGGACCGTTAGTTCGTCCACCCACTTAAGCAATAAAAAAATATGTTGCAAATCCCGGGCAGTAAGACCTGAACCGTCGGTGTAGGTACCGATAAGATCTTTTTTGGAGATTTTTTTTGGTCGGTCGGTTCGGTTGTGTTCGGTTCGATTTCTCTGCTCCCGTAAATAAATTAATTAAAAATAAACTAACACTTCATAATATCATTAAAACATATCAAAGTAGTGTTAAAGGTGTATAAATAAGTAAAACTATATTATAAATAGTGCTTTAAAACGTTATTTAATTGTAATTTTGCTTGGTGAGTGTGTAATATTTTGTAATTTGAGGGTAATCTGACCGGCAACTTCGTAAATTTTCTTCTTCTACATATTTTATTGTAATTTATTTTAAAATGATGACGCGCATTATCAAATCTCGTCAGGTTGATGAACAGCTTCGTATTGCTTTAGAACAATTAAAAAATACTCGCGAAAAATATGATATACTTTTACAAGAAAGTGAACAAAATGAAGATGCTGCTCTTGCTAGGGTCAGTGTTAGCAACTCTCCGGTTTGAGCCCCGTGAGCTCACTTACAAACGTTAGGGTGAAACTGAAATAGCATTTCAAGGCTATCAGCATAGGTAGGAAAAAAAAATTAATAAAAATAAAATGTATTATTGTCTGCCGTATTTTATTTCTTCATTTGGTCAATTTTTGTTTTTAATCGTTTTTTTTTTCGAGATTTACAATTTCACTGTTTTAGAATAACACTTAATTTAAATGTAGTACCTGTACCCTTTAGATAAATTATTTAACGTTTGATTTTGCTGTACGAATGCCTTGTATTTATTTAAAATTCTTTTAAAGCAGACAAGTAAATTCGGCGAAGAAACCTCCCATACTCTACGGAGATGAAGTATCTCCGCCCGTGAGATTTGTGATGATGACGGCAGCGCACCTCAACATTCAGTTGGATTTCCACCCAATTGATCTCTTTAAGTCTGAACACAAAATGGACGCTTTTAATCAGGTAAACTACGATAAATCTCTCAATCTCTTTATTTATTAGTTTGTGATCGAGGACCCCACACTTCAGCATGGCACTTTATAGTCACATCAACGAGGGACCGTCTACACTAATTGAGCATCAACAAGACAAACTTGCTGACGTTCCGCCGACACGTGCTCATATCAGGTTAAGAAGAAAACTTCATTCTTCTCACAAAGAAAATCGTCATTTAAGTATTTCTTTTTCCAAGTGAGCCTTTCATGTTCTGATTTTGGAAGCAATTATTCTGTAATATTATGTTTTGTTATCGTTTTTAATAGCACAAGAAGAAAAAAAACTACTAAATTTTCTAGTATTATATCCTCAAAAGCTCTAAGAGATTTTCGTGATTCACATAAATAGATAAGGCCAGATGAAAGTGAACAAATAATACAAGTATTTTTCTTTATTTTATTACCCTTGTCGACGCGATGATGAATAGTTAAATTATTTAAATGTTAAGTTAATGATTGTAAGGGTGATTTCTTAAATGTAAACATGTTGTAAACTCGCTCTTCTTCACAGTGAATGCGCAAACCTACTGTGTCGTCAATGAGTTAAGCTGAACTAAATTAATTTCCAATTCTATGGTATGTGAGTAGCAGCCGTTAACGGCGACTATGATGTTCCGCCCACCCGTCACTCGTGTATCTTGAGACGCGAGGTCTCGCTGTCCCTATTGTGAAATCTATGTAAACGTTAAAACATTTTTTACCGTTGACGATTAATGTAGATGTATGATTAATAATATGTAATGGATGTGAATTTGATTTAAATGGAAAAAAAACATGATTCTAGATTAATCCACTTCAAAAGGTGCCAGTGTTGAAAGTTGATAAAGATGTGATCTGTGACAGTCACGCTATTGCAATGTACCTTTGTGAAACTACTAAATCTGAAGATTTGTATCCAGGAAGTGCTTTGGCCAGGGCAAAAATAAATCAAATGCTTTTCTACAATGCGACAACTTTATTTCCAATTGACAGTTTCATACTTGTGAGTACAGTTACACAAAATGGTAGTTACATAAATTTGGATACACATATATTTATTTGAACCGTTGCGTTATTTTTATTTTCAGTCTGAATATTTTTGTGGAAAAATGCCATCTGGAGTTAAAGTTGATGAATGGTTTAATTCTCTGCATTACCTAAATACAGCTCTGTCGGTTTCTCCATGGCTCGCTGGAGATCAGGTAACAAATCTGTACTTAATTCATTCTTCTGTACTCGGCTATCACTGAATGTCTTCATTGAAGGGTTAAACGGCTTGACTGACATCGTTTGTATTTAAAACAAATACTTTGCAGTATTCTATGTAGCGTGGCGCGGCTTCCTTCAAACCCAATGTCTTCTTTTAACACTGCGAGTAATTTATTTAAAGTAGGAAGTTCTTTTTTACCGTATAAAACTGGTGAATTTTATGGCGAATAGCACATAGATCGAATCCATCCAAACCTATTTTTTTGCACGTGGGCGACTCTTCCCTGGTGTGACAATCCTTTTCTAAGTACTAGCCACTACTTTTCCTTCTTGTGTTATCCTCGAAACTGTTTTCTAAGACACACCTGCATTTTTTTTAATAGATATAAAACAAAACAGGCACGTCAGAATTTTCAATAGTGTTGTTAAACTTTGACGAAATGTTTAAATCTTAATAAACAATAATAAAATACTTTAATCTAACAATAAGTACGAAACCATAAAAAAGTCCCAAGTAAAATGATAAAAATCACATAACTGGTATCCCCAACTAACTACCTGTCATGACGGCTACTCTCTTACGAACATTGTTTATTAGTATCAAAACCCCCTGATTCTTCAATTCTGCTTCACAAAACTCCTTCACCTTCAATATTATTTCACGACCGGCACTTTTTACAACTTTAGACATCGTAAATAATAGTTTAAATACGACAATTGAATAAAAAACGCAATGGTAACGAACACAACAACACTTGACAGCACCTGATAACGACAAATATGGCCGATCTGTCATATTAGTTCCATTTATCCCCGTGGGACTTCTTCCAGTTTAGATTCATTCAACGTTCTTTTCAGCTTCCTAACTATTATATATTTTGATTTCAATGCAAGACAACGTCATCTTCACAGGAAACATCAATTGATTTGCTTGATTTTATTCTCTAGATGAGGATTTGCGACTTTTGCTGTGCTTCCACCATTAGTTCCATGGAGACGGTCGTTAATGGAATCAAGAAATTTGTTTACTTGAAGAGGTGGATGGATGAATTGGAAAAACTACCTTGTTTTGAAATCAACAGACGTGGCTTAGAGCGATTGAAATATTTTATGAGTCTTTACAAGCCAAACTAAATGAACCATTATATTATTCAAATGAGTAGATGATTAAATTATTGGTTTGAAAAAGCTACAAAGTTTTTTGATCCGCAGTATCGATGCTTCCTAGTTCTATAGCACCGTATACTGTCGGCCCGAGGGAGAATACCTAAACGACTTAAAGGTTATAGTTTGGACAATTGAAGGGTCGTTTGTTACACGCAAGACTCTAGGCAACCAATGGCGTATTACCTTAGCGTCAAATGGGATGTGGCCTTTTTTTTTCGGGCATCGGCCGAACCTCAGGTGCAGACCGTCAAATCCCACATACCTTGCATGAGGTATGTGAGACTTGACAATCTGCAGATGTTTCGAGCAGACCACGGGTCCAAGGATGCTTAAGGGCCCTATCCACCAAACGACTCCCCTTGCACTCTTTCAACCGACGTCCGATCTTCACCTGGGGTCAGAACCCAGTCAGAGTAGGGGGGCTCCCGCGGTCAGCACTACAACCAGACTCGTGGTGCCAACCCTAGGACGCCCGACCGATAGGTCGACGAGGCCATCGTTGACGACTCTACGTCGGCCGTCTCGGTGCGGTAGCCCGACGGGCCACCCCAGGCAGTGGTGCTGGTGTTCCGGAATATCCCGCTGGACTAGAACCAGCCTGCCAGGTAGGAACGCAATATACCACCAACCGGTTGCTCTCACACAATAGTTTCGTGGAACTGCTGCCATGCAGCGCGCTAGAGCGCAGGTACGCCGTTCGGTAAATGGGATGTGGTCATGGCGCTGGCCCCAGCTAGGTGAGGCCGTAGGCTAAGGCGTAATCGTAGGTAGCCTGGTTCGGGAGGTCAATGGTTTTATTGGTACTCCAACCATTATTGATGACGAGCGTTGAAGTCTTGGACCATTACCTCCACAAATGGTTACTTTGCTCAAGCAAGTGGTCAGTCCTCTCTTGCAAATGCTCAAACTTTTTCGCATGGATGATCTAGTGTGCTCACTGGTTGACAGGGTTGTGTTTGGACTTAATAAAATAAATTCGTGTTGGTAGAAATGGGAGTATTTGGAATTTAAAAAACACAACGTTGAAATGATTAAATTTTGATAGATTTTCTTTGGTTGTCAACACTGAATTTGTTTAAAGTTTTAACGTTTTCTTCTATGATCTAAAATTGTAATCAATGAAACGAGATGAAAATAAATTAAATAATATCAGTGAAGTAATGGGAGATTCGTTAAGCATTTTGGAAGAATCCGAAAAGCTGGATGAAGATTTTGTTTCAATTTTCCAACATGTTTCATTTTAAACGACATATAGAATGCAATTAATAGTTAAAATTAGACGATAATGCCTGAAGAAAAACAGAAAAATAAATCATTTCACGCAACTTGACATTTCATATTCCTGCCAGAAAGTAAATAATATTTATCAGTCATAGACCTATGTCAGTACCTTCCATGACAGTGCCAAGTACAATTTCCTTTCTTTAATCTTTACTCCTTCACTTAGCTTAGTCTATGACTGGCTGCATATTGATTGGTCGACGAGGAGATGTAAAAAATGGCTGCCTTGCCGTCTCCTACCCAGGTAGAAATTAATAAGATTTACTGAGTTGTTTTTGATTAAATTGCTTAAAGGAAGTTAATTAATCAATTTAAAGAGTCCAGTTTTAGTAAAGTTTAGTGTGTGGTTACCAAAAATAACCGGTTTTAGTAATTTAGTGTGAAGATCGTGTTAGAAACAAATTTATTTGCTTGAATTTAATGTATTGACGTTAATTTAATGTATCCCAACAGTGTTCATTTAATGCCCATTTCGTAGTCAAAGACTGTGCCTCAGTTATGGTGAATAATCTCTTTAATAATTTATTAACCTCTTAATTAGTTGGTTGAATAGTAAATGTTAACAATTAAAACATATCTCGATTAAAAGTAACGCCACCTCAAAAGTGATATAAACAAGTCGAAAACAAATATTATGGTGATCTAAACGGTGTCAATATGTGGACTCAATCGTTACAGGTGGCAGGGACCCACAGCACGATATATGAAGCCTACTATCATCAGGTAAGTGGAGAGTTCATACATACTTACATGTCTTGTTGGTCATTTTGGTATATTAAATAAATTTGTCATCAACCCTGCTCTTGCCTAAGTGATCTACGAGTACATTTGTATAAAAATGCATAGTTTAACTCATAGATAATTCGACTATAGCTGATAAATTTTAAAGATGGAATTTTGTATTTATTAACCAATCTAAAAAACCCATCAGATTACATATTGTATTCTCTAATCACTGATGAGATATTAGGAAACTTTAAGTATTTTATTTTCATAAACAGTTCTGAATAAATATTTTAACCATAAATTTAAAGCCGGTCGTCAACTAACTTCCTCCAGGTACTCAGTTGCCTCTGGTTGTTAAATCATTTTTCAAAGAGATGTCAATGACTAGAACAGTGATATTGCAAACAAATTAATTAAAATATAAATAGATTAACCTGTTTGCTGAGTTGGTTTTGCTCATTTTATAACTGTTGGTAGAGTTTATTTTGAAATTTAAATCTTCCTCAAAGAACCCTTCAGTACACTGAAATAGCACATGAGTGGCTATTCCAAGCTTATGATCACTGAGATAAATGTCATATTGTGTAAACTATAGGCATATGTGTATATTTATGTAGGCTCATTTTATGTCACAGTGTGTGTATGTAATTTGAATAGGCTATATCTCACTAAATTATAATTATGCCGTTGGACACTTTTGTCCTCCTTCAAATCTTGCTGAGCTTTACCTACATGAAGCTGTTGTGGCCTAAAGTATAAAACACCCAGTGAATTCATATTGAGTCATGTGACTGACCCAGTATTGAAGCCCTGCAGGCAGGCACCAATTTTTGTGAGGAAACAAGTACTTAAAAATGAGTTCACTTTACAAATGACTTTTGTGGTAAAAGAATAACATTGTCTTAGAAATCAAACTTGCAGAATTACTGGTGGTACTTAAACGTTGTAAGATAGATCAGTTCTGTTTAAATTAATGAATAGATTACTTACTCTACCAATTCAATAAAAATGCACAAAGTAAATACCATCTCAGACGTAAGATCAAATATGATAATGAAATTTGTATCTTTGATATATATGGTATATTTTAAGATTAGTTGTGATTGCCAAGAGGTGATAAAAAAATGTGAAATCAGATAAATTTAAGTGTTGTGTTTTTGGTCATTGCAGCAACAAATATTTTGTACCCAAATGTGAAATAAGTTATATCTCAACCCTTCTTAACTTTAATGAATGAAATATGGTAATAATTCTCTCCAAATTGTTTCATCATTAGCCGTTTGTTGGTTTGCATTAGATCTATTTTGAGCAAACTTTAAGTCAAAATGTGTAACTAAGAATTCTGATAAATATATTCCTGTAGCCCTAACCAGCTACTTCCAGTTGACTCCATACAGAATATAGCCGTTCAGATTTTGTACTGTATGTTCCACGGAGTGCTCTGAGGAATTGTTTGAGATGATCCCATAATTTCATTTTTACCATCGCATCGCCCGCCACCGATATAGAGTTCATCCATACTAGAGCCAATGTGTTCATCCACACAATTTTTTGCCATGTACCACTAGGGTTTGGAATGAGCTTCCTTCCATGGTGTTTCCCAAGCACTATATGCCCTTCTTCAAATGAGGCTTGTGGATAGTATTAAAACGTAGGCAGCGGCTTGGCTCTGCCCCTGGATTGCTGACGTCTAGGAACGACAGTAACTACTCATCATCAGATGGGCCGTATCCTACATAAGTAATAAAAAAAAGTTATGATTTACAAAATTTTTATACTAGTGCTAGATATTAGCATAGGCCAGTACTGTTGGATTCTTGATTGTAAGTTAAATAACTTAGAGGCTGTGTGCACATTACAACAAGAACAGATCAGGAAATGTGTTGCTCTAAACTGGCTCTGATCTAACATGTTGGTTTCTTCAATTACAGATGCAATACTTCCTTATTGTTCCTTATGTGCTCTATTCAGTGTATTTTCTTGCTTTTTAAATCAGTACTTACTAATATTGGAAATGCAAACATGAATACATAGGCGGCACTGAAAATTTCGGGAATTAATGAAGTGACACAACATTACTATTTAAAAATGTATTTATTGCTTTTCGAAGTATTCTCCGCGAAATTTGACACATTTTTCCATACGATGGAACCAATCATTGAAGCAACCATTCCATTCGGAAGTTGGGGTCTCCAAAATGGCCGTTTTGTAGGCGTCCACAGCTTCTTCAGGTGATGAAAATCTCTGTCCACGCAATTTATTCTTTATTTTAGGGAAAGTATAGAAATCATTAGGGCTTAGGTCGGGGCTGTACGGCGGATGGTCTAATAATTCTATGTTTTCTTGCTCTAAAAACTCTTTTGTTCTGTGCGCGGTGTGAGAACTCGCATTGTCGTGATGGAGGATGATGCGGCGGTTGCAGTTCTCTTTACGGAGTTCAGAAACGACCTGTGGCAAACAAATGCTAGCATACCATTCTGCATTAACCGTTCTTTGTCCCTCAAGAGGAATAGTCGTAACATGGCCGGTTTTGGAGACAAACGTGGCCACCATTTTTTTTGCAACACTCCGTGAACGAACAATTTTTGTTGGCTTTAACTCATTTTCGAACACCCAAACTCGTGACTGGTTTTTTGTTTCGGGTTCGTACGCGTATATCCAGGATTCGTCACCTGATACAATGTTGTATACAGCATTTGAGGATCCTGCGTGGAATCTTTCGAGAGTTCTGACGCACCAAGTAATGCGACCCGCTTTTTGCTCTTCACAGAGCGAATGCGGTATCCATCGGGAAAACAACTTTTTTACACCTAATTGTTCATGCAAGATTATTTGTATTTGACTCATGCCAATGTCTAAAGTTGCCTGAATTTCGCGGTATGTCACATGTCGATCTTCCTCAATCAGCTTACGCACAGCATCAACGTTTTCTTGGGTCACTGCAGTTTTTGGACGACCTTGACTGGGATCATCACTGGGCTTGACACGTCCATGTTGAAACTCAGCAAACCTGCGATAAATTGTGGTTTTGGATGGGGCTTCATCACCAAATGCAGAAATCATCCGGTCAACACATTGTTTTTGTGTTAAACCATTTCGAAAGTCATAATAAATCATCGCTCTTGAATTTTCTCGAGTCAATTCCATTTTTTCAACGACTAAACAAGTTTGACAAAACGTCGTGACAAGACCGAGAATCTTTTTTTAAATAAATAAATGGTATTCGATTTTTAAAACCAAGGAGTTTTTAATTAAAAAGATTTTAATATGACAGGAACAGTGGAAATATTCCATTCCCGATACTTTTAGTGCAGCCCTCGTATGTTTGTCTGTTTCACATTTTAAAGCTAAACTTTACAATACGATTATAATTGAAGAAATGATGCCCCTATTTAACACCTGTGATCCTCTTATCGTTAAGATGAAAACCTAAATCAAACAATTTGCCAGATCTCGAGTTTTTTATAGTAAAATAGACTTTAGTTAACACTAATAAAGCACGGAGAGACTAAACCCTCTAACCCTCTAACTAATACTCTATGGTCCTCTGGCACACTCAATTTTAAGTATTTTTCCTTTGGAGTTTTGTTTTACACTTATTTAAAGGTCACATTGTTTTATGGTTAAATCAAGAGGCATTTGGCATATGAATATGAAGGTGGGTAGGCGAAAAATTCATTCTGGATAGGATTTGGGTAAAATCCTTTCTCAAATGCCAAATTCAAAGTTCATGGTAATGGATGGATTCAGAGATCTCGTGATGAAGCGCTACATACATATAGCGGAGCAGTCTGACGGACCTTATTACGATTACAGGTGGACCCAAACGGCACTGGGGTCATTCAAGCGCTAGACGCTGCTCGGTTCCTCAAGAAGTCTCGGCTTAGCGACGTTGTCCTCAGCAAGATATGGGACCTATCAGATCCAGCCGGCAAGGGTTGTCTTGATAAGGTAATACATATTTCTTGTTATTTGTAGGTGCTTGATTATTTACACAGTGCAAGCTACCGGACTTGATATAAATATAAGTTGAATGTTAGTAGAGGCATTGCAGACGACGACGACCCAATTAGACACAGATGTGCTTTGTGTCTGGGCTCGACCTTGTTGTCTTTGATACGTTAGGTATGCTTCTTCTCCAGTGTAATTAGAGAAAATAACGAATAACGGATTACCAAAACATCATCATCATTATCCTGCCCTTCTCCCAGTCACCTGGGGTCGGCGCAACATGTTTTCTCCTTCCATACTCTTCTATCATATACAATTTCTTCGCTCACTCCCCTCTTACCCATATCGTCTTTCACACAATCTATCCATTTCTTCTTAGGTCTACCTCTTCCTCTATATCCTTCCACATTCATAGTTAACACTCTCTTACCAACCTCATTTTAATTTCGTCTCATCACATGTCCATACCATCCCAAACGCGCACTCCTCAGCTTCTCTGTCACAGGTGCCACTTTCAGACTTCCTCTAACATATTCATTCCGTATTCTATCCATTCTCGTTACTCCACACATCCATCGCAACATTCGCATCTCTGCTGCATGCAATCGCCTTTCATTACGGATTACCAAAACATATCTGACTTAATAAATTTATACTAGTGGTCGAAATTGGACCATAATTAATTGAACAACAATAAACAAAAGAGTATAAATGCGTGTGTATGTCAAATACATGGTAGTGTGTGTAATGTGTTTTTTATTGATTTAGTGTATATTTATACATAAATATAAAAAATATTGGTATTCTGCACTACTTCTCTATATTCTCTATAAGCGTGGGTAATTTCATACTCGTCCGTCCGCGCAATTGTCGCAAATAGGCTACAAAGTTTTTGCTTCACGTATTAGTATAATAATATAGATAATGTGTTTATTGTCATCTTTTGCCTTTAACTAACAGTACATTATACATTATATTAATGATATATAAACAAAAACCAAACAAATTCCCACCATTAGCACAACACACGAGTAGAGAGTGAGTAAAAATAACTGAAATTAATAATTTAACATCAGGTTTTTTTACTCACTCAAAATTTACAAAAAGGTAATCAACTAAAACAATACAAAATACCTACTATAATTTATAATTATTATCCTGACATTTGGTTACGGCAAACATTAGAATAGGAAATCTATCATATAAATCCCGTTGTCTTTCTCGAAGAGAAACTGAAACTGGAGTAATCACCAAATCGACAATAACATTTCCATCTTTTTATGAAATTTTCTTTTAAGTGTCGCGTGTAACCGTTAGATGAACATTATGAAAAATACTTTTATTTAAGAAATTATGAAATTTGTTCACAGCCAATACTGATTGTATCCAATAAATTTTTGAAAGTGCCAATAATGTCAATAATAGAATGATCAATTTTATTTAAGAACCACATAGATTGCTCTGCAGCACGAATAGATCTCATACCAAACTCAGGAAACTCTTATGTCTAAAGGTGGATGGAGATCGTCCTCGGACATCAATAAGCAGTGTCACAGAGTTTATGATTATAGCGTTATTGAAGCATTAGGCACAGCTTTTTGTAGAAAAGGTATCAAAACATGGAACAAACTTGAGAAGGCTGTTAAGCCTCTTGACGCACCCATCGTCTCTAACCGAGAGTGGTCCTTTTAGCAAGAGCTAGCACAACAGTGAGTGTGAAGCTCTTCTGACGTGTTTAATCCGCTTCATTAATCTTATGCTCTCTCAAAAATATTCTGTATAAAATTAGGGAGACCAATTATTCTATGGACAATGTGCGCATTAAGTCTATCGCGATGAAGGATTGGGCAATGGTACCCTATGCGACGAGTCAGAAGATTCTTAATTGTGGTGGATTGTGCATGCAATACTGTTATAATCTTTTACGTTGCGGGATCCAAGAAAATTGAATTGTAGAGCGGATTGCTGAACCCCGTCGTTCAGACTCAGGGTCTCATCTGTAAAACCTGGATTACATGAGTTCCTGTGGCGGGAGCGAATAAAATGAGTTGAAGTAATTATTGCTACAGTAGGCTTAAACCAGTTCCCGCCAAGTATCGCCAGTCACCAAGTTCGATAGACACATAATTATAATACAGGCGACGCGTCGGTATAAATTGGCACTGGAGCCTTTCGTTGCGTAACTGTCGCCGACATTAGGCGGTCTTGGACGTTCAGCGCACAATTCACAAACTTAATAGGTCGGCGCCATCATAAATATTGAAACGAGAGCTTCAAATTGTGTATTTGTTGCTGTGATTCGTAGCCAAATGATAAAAAAAAACGGAAACCCTATTATAAATGCGTCATGTCCGCATGTGAAGTGGAACATAGACGAATACACAGACCGAGCGTCCAAACAGAGTTCGCATTATAAGCTCCGTTAGTCTGTCTAATTGTGCTGCTGCAGTGCTCCAGTTACTATCGCTCGTATTGTTGGTGTGACGTGTCTGGGGTTCAGCCTAGCTAACAGGAAACGGGTGGGCGCTGACTGCACCGCGAGCTACACGGCCCGTCTAAGGAGCATGCGTGCACAGGACTAACTCAAAGACATCGGTTGGACCGGATTCACAACTGTGCAGTTTCTCAACTCGCTCTCGACACTACACATACTAATTCTAATGATGTCAACGGTCCTCAACACTTAATTGTTTTGGTTTTAGAACATAAAATGTGATGTTTTAAATCGTTACAAATGAGTCATTCTGATGTTACGCATTAGAGTTCTGGATAAGTAATATAGTATTAATTCGTTTGATATTTGTTTCTATTTTATGGCGGATGCCGTTATACACACCGGCATAACAATATATTATGACCTCTAAACCTCTAAATCTCTCAAAGGTTATTAGATAGTGACTCATTTTTTTATCGCACAAGGGCGAGACGTCAGCTTAGCGCCAGATTGTTTCTAGGTTGTTTCGAGAGGAAGGGTGTGAGGCCACGTGGCAGTGATATGCAACACGATGGAGATTCTATTCATGTGCAACATTTATATATATATATAAGTACACATTTAGTTTAGATCTTTTTTTATAATACTTTTATTAATTCGTGCTGTACAATTTTTATTTATTTTCCTAGTGATTTCACTTTTCTTTATTGGTTACCACCTTTGATTGGCTTTTTATTTCTTTCTATTTGTTGTTATTCTATTCTCTTATGTTAATTGAAGCTGTTAGTCCTCCCTGTAATAAAACATGAGAGTTGTGAGCGGCGCGTTGTTTGCTCGCAACAGTCGCGACATTGCAGAGGATGTATTTAATTACGAGGCAACAGATAGTGCCTTATCTGCCTGACGTTTGATCGCCGCACACGCCGCCGCCGCCGCCGCCGCTCGTGTAGCGGGGGAGCTCTGGAACGTGTCGTCCACGTACCGATCGATGTGCTCAAATAAATTGACTAAACTTCACGTTGGCTTGTGCGATGTATACACACGCACCGCACCCCGGTACTGAACGCTTTCTTCGCGTGTTGAGGTGAAAGAGATTTGACAGTCTTCCGAGAGAAGAGTATTTTAATTTAGTGGTCGCCTTGTGGCACTTACTTGCTGTGTGTCGATTGTAAAAGGAGCGGCCGTGACTTAGTAACGACGCCGACGCCCGCTGTACTGTAGTGAGCTCCGTGGTGTGGTCCCGGGACAGGTACTCAACTTAGTAATTACAATTGTCTCTAGCATGTGTTCGTCTGCGGCGGACATGTTTTGTGTGCAGGCCGACCGGGCTGGTGTCAGATGTATGCAGGGTGGGGCGATCCGTGGACTTGCAACTAAGTGCGACCAGTGCTGTTACGGATGGGGGCCGGAAAGAGACCGGAGGTCTATCCAAAACTTGTAGTTGACAGCCGGACCGGTAGTTAACATTCTTTGACTTAATTGTGATACAGGCGGGGTTCTTCGTGGCGCTGAAGCTGGTGGCTCTGGCGCAGGTCGGCAAGGACATCACCATGAGCAATATACACGCAGAGACGCCTCCTCCGAAGCTCGTGAGTGTTTTGCATGCAACGCGATCTTTTCCTAGTGCATTTTGTAACTCGAAAGCCAGTTTTCTAATTCTAACAAATTTTATTGAATGTTGGAATGAAACCTTGAAAGTCAATAGTCGACTGACTAATGCGAGCAGAAGCAACATGTGGCCCTAAAGGCTTCGCTGTTCAACCTTGTATTTTTGTTATCCAGGGCGAGCTGCCCAAAATATCGGCGTCAGGATCTGTGCCCCCCGCGCGTCCCCCGGCGCCCGCCTCGCCCGCCCCCGCCCCCGCCCCCGCCGCGTCTCCCGCACTCGGCGACTGGAGCATGAAGCCACACGAGCGGGACAAGTACAGCCAGCTCTTCGATTCTCTGCAACCCACCAACGGACTCATTCCTGGCGCTAAGGTAGTTATAACTAATGCACTGGTCGGTGCTGTCTATACTCATGTAGGACTTACGAGCTGGGTGCATGAGTTCACGTCTCATCTGAAGCTAGTACTTACCGGAGCCCCTAGACATCGCAACGTACATTTAGGTAATACAACTAATACACATACATAATAGGTAAGACAAAACATTCAAGTGAGTTCTTAACCAAATATCTGGATCCCAGTGGATTGGTCGATGTCGCCAGCTCGGGCGCCAGCTCCCGCCAGCTCGGGCGCGGAACAATTTGTGCTGGTGGGTTTTTGGTTGGTTCATGAGCGCTCATCTAACGCTAAGCATCTAAGAGCTGTGTGTTGGCGTGTTACAGGTGAAAGGTGTATTGATGGAGTCCAAGCTCCCTCTCGAGACGCTCGGCAAGATCTGGGACCTCGCCGACCAGGACCGGGACGGCATGCTCGACAGGCACGAGTTCATGGTGGTCAGTGCGCCAGTGTCGTCCCTGACCGCACAAGCATTCATCATTTATCGACAAACATTGCGATTTAAATAAGTTGTGTTTTCATTTTGTAGGCGATGCATTTGGTATACAAGGCGCTCGAGAAACACGCGGTGCCCACGAGCCTGCCCCCCGAGCTGCGGACTCGGCCCCCCCCTCGCCCTCCCTCGCGGCCCCCGTCGCGCCCCCCCTCGCGNACACTTTCATGAAAAACACAATGAAACGCGTACAACAATAATATCCATACTAATTTTTTTAAATGTGAAAGTGTGTTTGTTTCTCCTTTTCTTGCGTCCAAACGAACAGCGGATCGACATGATTTTTTGAAGTGACAGTATTATGTTAGGGCTACCCTTATCCCGAGAAAACTTCTCAATCCCACGGAAAACTACACTGAGACTTTTCCTTAACCGCGGGTGAAGCTGCGGGTAATAGCTAATCCAGAAATAAATACACAAAAGGACAATGCCCATTTTCTATGGGCGTTTGGGCCCCTAAAAAAAGTTGTCCTGTCATGATGGTTTTAACTTATTTTGATAGACAAAAAAATATCGTTTCATATTCATAAAACTATTTTTATATTGTCACCCAGGTTTAAGAGAAATCTGTTTTTTTCTGCAGCTAAAATTAAGTTGTTAATTGTTTTCTTCGAAATCAATAATCGCTCTCATAATTATTTACAGTATTAAATAAGTTAATTGTGCTTAATGTTGCTAGAAATAAGCCCTTACGTACATTTTATTATTATTATATCCTCATAATAATAATAAAATGAAATGAAAATCCGGAAGCCGGCAACGATATTGTTGTTGTTGTTTTTAAATTCACCAATAAGCAGGCAAAGAGTGTAGCCTATACAGCCTAGTCTGTCGAAGTTATATATTTTTTATGTCAATAAAAAGCCGGTGTATCTCTTTTTATTGCTTTTTGGGAGTTTTGAGTTCAACTCGACGAATACCACATTGACTGAGCATGAGTTTACGCAGACCTTTTATACACAATATTACAAATACAAATAATACAAATTACACAATAAACTATTAAAAAAACATTAAAATAAAAACTCAAGTGACGCTTCACTCGGGTTGCTGCCAAAACTCTCTGATCATATATAATAAGAATAGAGTAATGGTAGGCCATTGATATT